AAGATGAAGTTTCTCTTTATTTATGAACCTAATGATTAAGTATCAACTTCACATTCTGACTCAGAGGTAACGCTCTGTGCCTTTCTCTCGTCTCCCCTTTAGCTCAGACCAAGTGTCAAATAATGATCCAGTGTCTTCCACCGGTGGCTCAAATGTTTCTAAATCTCACAGTGTGTGTGGAGTAGAAGTTAACTAAAGTGTTTGAACTGTAATTATTTTTCTCTCTTAATTGCACCGCTCCATTCTTCCTGTCAGGCCAAAACGACCTGTGATTGACATTTAACTAAATGAGGCTCCAGGCTCAGAAACTGCACAGACTGTGTGGTGATGTTTATGTTTGTTTGTTTGTTTGTTTGTGTGTGTGTGTGTGTGTGCAGGTATGCGTATCCTCGTGACCCTCCTCTTAGACACACTCCCCATGCTGGGCAACGTGCTGGCACTGTGCTTCTTCGTCTTCTTCATCTTTGGCATTGTTGGCGTGCAGCTGTGGGCGGGGCTTCTGAGGAACCGCTGCTTCATGGGAGAGGACGTCAAGATGTGAGTTACCATAGAAACAGCCAGATGTCACCTCAAGTGGTGCGCTGACCTCATTATCCTGAACCCTGTGTCAAAAGTTTCTTTACCCTGGTGTTGTATCTTAAAGTGGATCAATATCACAATCAACGCATCGGTTTGTTCTGAGACTCGGTTCCTGCTGGAGGTTCTAGAGGAGATGTAACAATAAACTATAGCACCATAAAAAAAAAAAAGAAATGCTTTGAATTATCTTTTATATTTTTATTTTGGTTCAGCCATTTTTTGATAGTTAACATAAACAATTCATATAATTCTTAACATTTATACTTTGGATGGTGGAGAATTAAATGCTTTAGTATACATACAAAACATGTAGTAACCATAAAATATACACTTGTTGTGATAAATGCAAATTCACATATAAGAAATATTTCTACATATCATGAAAACAATGTCATAAAAAACATTTCCTGAAAAGGAAAATCCCTTTTACCCTTAGGCAAGGCTGAGGTGCTTGAGAAAATACCTGAAAAGTGCTTGAAAAGGCTCTTGAAAACAGAGATCAGCTGCGTAATCCACAAATTAACCTTTATAGTAAGACAAAGTCAGGCCAGGATTAAGGAGGAAGAACATGCAACATCTATACTTAGATGAACCCAGGATTTGAACCGGTGACCTTCTTGAGAGAACAGCGCTCCCTGGTGACTTCTCTCTGTACCAAAGATGATTGATTACATTCCACTGTCCTCCATCCCCCTCCAATCCCTGCTTTGTGGAAATCTCTTTGTTTCAGATGTCTTCCTTCAACGTCCATCTTCAGCAAATACACACAACTATTTTAATATATTGTTTTAATTTAGATTTTCAGAAAAAAAAAGTTAAATAAACCCATCATCTTGAAATCATCAGTTACTTGTAAAATTGAACAGCCTTTACTGTACATGCTCTCCCACTAAAACAGCCCATGATCCAACATCAACAATGAACTCATTGTAAGTGTGTGGTCCAGCCCTGGTGAAATTCATTTCTGCGTCCCACGGTTTTCCATTGTTGTCCCACAGCTTCTAAAACCACACAATTGTTCTTAAGTGACGCGTCCATCCATTTAGATAAACACGGGCACAGCAGTGGAGCCGGCCGGTTGCCTTACCTTATATTACTTCTCTGTAGTAAATCAAACGCTTTGCTCTCGGATACATGTAGCTTCTGACTAATAGTTCAGTCAATGTTTTATTTGTGGAAGAAAAGCTGAACTCGTTCCTTTAATCTTAATGATAAATAAAAACGCTAGTAGAAAAAAATCCGAAGCTGCAGCTGTGACTTTAATTTAGATTTGCTTTTTCTTTTTCCATTTAATGCGCACTGGAAAATGCATAAATAAGCTGCTCTGGAGGTTGTAGAGTTCAGCGGATAAAACACACATATTCACTGACTGGAGGATATGGCACAAGATGTAATGTATACATGGATGTGAAAATGCATGAATGCTTGTTTGAGATCATGTGACCACTGTGTAATTCGATGGCACTGTGTATCTGTGTATCTATGTATCTATGTATCTTACAAAACCAGCTGGAAATAACTGACCTACTCTACAGTTGATCTGATTCTTGGAGTGTCTTGGATTCCATTTACATGGAAAGCAGGGAGATAAAACAGGAAGTGACTTCATGTCTTCATGTAGACAGTAGCTTTATGAGTCATTGTTTCACTAGATGCTAGTAATGCTAACGTTACTATGTAGCGTTTTGCTCAAACAATTAAAAAAACAAAAAAAAAACAAAACAACAGGTGTTCACTGCACTGTAACTGTAACAATGTTGTTGCTAAAGTTTAAATTCTAACTTTACGAGCCCCTTTACTTTAGTAGACCTTAAAAAATGTAACTTTGTAGTACAACTGAAAATATACACAAACATACCTTGTGGATTTGCTGTGTGGAAGAAATGCAGCTCTCTGGGACTCTCTGTTTGGGTTCTCCCCCCCCATACCTCACGATGAGTAAACCAGAATCTGAACATTTTCAGTGTTTCCTTATTTTGAGAGAAAAAAAAAACAAAAAACCAACATGAATTTTCCTGCATGTTCGATGCACCAAATATGCGATCATTTTCTAAGGAGCGGGGATGAAGCACCAAAAGTATGTGGTTTCACAAAGAGCCTGGCACTGACTTCTTTGATGTTGCTGTCTGTTTGATGTCTGTTTTTTTCCCTCCCTACGACAGGAGATACAATGTTTCCTTCCTGAGTGGTTACTATCGACCTGACGGCACCGACGATCATCCCTTCATCTGCTCAACGGAGAGAGACAACGGGATGCTTCGATGCTCCGATGTTCCTCGCCGCCGTGTGGGCAGGACTTCATGCTTCCTTGGTGCTGAGGAGGATCGTCCAGATACTGGACTGAGACAAGAAGAGCCGGGTTCATGCGTGAACTGGTATCAGTATTACAATGAGTGTCGGGCCGGGGAAATAAACCCACATAAAGGGGCTATTAACTTTGATAATATTGGATATGCATGGATCGCCATCTTCCAGGTAAAAGGTTTTAAACACGGGGGTAAGTGGACAGTGACAGTCGCCACTCACCAATCATTACTCCCGTTCTCTGTGTACGTTTTCCATTCAGGTGATCACTCTGGAAGGATGGGTGGACATCATGTACTATGTCATGGACGCACATTCCTTCTACAACTTCATCTACTTTATTTTTCTCATTATAGTAAGTATAAAAACACACACAAATATAAAAAAAACTTGACCATCAGCCAACCATGGGGGAGACGAGTCTGAGACTCGGACTTGAGTCGTGCTTAGGTTGCACAAATGGAGACTCTTGAATTGGACCCGCCCTCAAAAGACCTGAGACTTGACTTCAGACTTGGTTTTACAAGACTTGCGACTGACTTGGACTTGAGGTTGACGACTCGTGAGCAATCTTGAATTTCCAGGAATTATTGTTTCTGGCCTTCGTTATTTATTCCAATATGTTGACATCATATGAACTCTTTGTAAGAATATATTTGTACAGCCTTGATGTTACGATACACAAGTTGAATATATATGTACAGCCTTGATGTTACGATACACAACACGTCGTAACTGAGCATCGACAGATACAGTATCAAAACAACACTGACCATGGCGGGGGTTAGCTCTGCTGGAGCTTCTCGCAGACATCAAACAAACCAACAACCACCTGCTAGGTGTGGGGCATCAGGAGACATGTTGCTGGACCAGCCATGTCCAATTTCATCAGGCGTCAATGTTTTTCAACCTCTGTCTTCCAAACTTCTCCCTGGGACGTGGATTGTGTTTGAAAGTTTGTTACCATAAATTCTTAGGTGTAGATTGGTTGAAAGCCTTTTTGTTATTTTCTCATTATTTTCAATTCTTAAATGACAATAAAAATATGTTAGCTCACTGCTTTTGCACCATGATTGGTGTGAATACCGGTTGGACGACACAGGCGGTAAAGACCAATAAGTTGGAGGAAAAGCACATAAATATTCCATGATACAAAAACTGAGACCTGACCTGGACTTAGGACAGAATACGAGGTGTTGTCCCTCAAATACATGACTTGGACATGTGTACAACGACTTGAGACATGACCTGGACTTGGGAAACCTGACTTGTAAATAGGGATGTCCGATAATATCGTCCGACCGATATTATCGGCCCGTGTTAGCGGCTAACGTGTGTGTTTGTGTTGTTGTCAGGTGGGATCTTTTTTCATGATCAACCTGTGCTTGGTGGTCATCGCCACCCAGTTTTCTGAGACCAAGCAGAGGGAACATGCCTTAATGAAGTCGGAGCAACGCGCACGCCAGCTGCACCAATCAGCTTCCACGCTGGCCAGTGACAGCCAACCAGGAAGTTGCTATGAGGAGATAATCCGCTACCTGGCTCACCTTGGTCGCAAGGCGTGGAGACGAATATCTCGCTGCTACGCTCAGACGCACGTGCCCTTTCACTGCAGGTGCTCGTGCCAGAAAAACCGAGGTGGAGGCTCCGCCAGGGGGAGTGGAGTCGGCGAGATGAATGGACTCGCGAACCGACACTCGGGCCACGCCCCCAACGACTTGTCACACCTTCATCAGCTCTACCACAACCACCAGCATCATCACCAGCCTCAACTGACCCAGTCTGAGTCTGTTGTCAGTAACGGAGGGATGGCGTTTAATTACCCCTTCATATCACCACTTCTTAGTCACATGGATACAAAGGACCAGAACCAGAAACGAGCGGCTGCCCCGGAGACCATGAGCCGACTACCACAGCTGGTGCTGGAGCACGGTGAGAGCAAAAGGGTGTGTGTGTGTGTGTGTGCAACCTTCACAGGTCAAAAAAAAAAAAAAAATCAAACCCTTGTCCCTATCCTTGTCTTAAATCACCCAGTTATTGCCCCCAAATCTCAATTATTGTCATTTTTTTTAAAACCCTTGAAATGAAAAGGGAGTAGTTAGAATTTGGTTTTCATGCTAATGATCATTTGTTTCCAAAGGTGGAAGTGTCTCCAGGCAGTCGACTTCAAATAATTTGCTCTTATTAGGTATCACCCTCTGTGCACAATCTTTTGCACGAAAAAAAGACATGGGTGGAGACGGAGGTAGACGGAGCGAGTTGGGGAGAAAGAGAGTGAGAGGCAGCACTGAAAATAACTGCAATACTCTACACACTGTATTTGTGGTGTTGCAGTACTATTGCCCCATGGGAAGCAGCACAAGGCATTATAAAAATACATCATTCTCTCGCTAATGTTGCTCTGCATAAAGTGGGATGCATAATGGCGTCTCCCAAACACAACACATGCCTTCAATAATGAAAGCCTGTCGTTCCTCCTGACTGACTTTTGACGCAACACGTCACGACAGACATTTTCATACATGAAGGCTTTCATGGACGGCAGTATTCCAACCTAATATGAGAGAAAATTAGAAAAAAAAATGGATTGATATTAGTATCATGTGATATAAATGTGTCTGTCAACATCACTCATCCTGTCGCACTCACATTAGCAGTTCGTGTAGATGTCCTGCTGCGTGACAAAGTCCAGTAACTGTCCACATCAGTGGTGCTGAAACGGTGCTGAAACGCATGTCCACCGTCTTTCCCTGAGGAGTGAAAGCAGCCGAGTCGTGTTTGACATAAACTCATATATTTTACGTTTAAATGTCACTTCAATTGAACATACTTTCCACATCTGCCCTTTAAAAACACAGATATTGTTATACTTATAACATGGCATCAAGAGGGGAGTGGTCTTTAACAAAACCTTACACAGACCTTAATGAACCAGACAATGACGGGATCGTAAACCTCTGCCAAGTTCTTTTCTTTCTTTTTATAACTGGACCACTTCCACAATCTAATCATTTCTTCACGCACCACAACCCTGATTCTTATAAAATGCAATCAAAGTTGTTTTTTATATATATATATCTGGAGTGGGGCTGCTCACAGAAATCCATCAGGCAGACAAAAGGATGAAAACACAGAGATTAAAAAGAATGTATCTGATTTCTGACTGGGTTATCTTTTCATATATATATATCAGTGTGTCACAGTGTAGTGGGGGATGCTGTATTTTATCGTTGTGATATTGAAAGACCACTGAAAGATTTTAAGGATCCACTTTAACAAAGACCGATTAATTAGAGAAAATTAGATACGAGCAGCAGTAGTCGCAGAACTTCTGATTACAAAGTACTTTTTTTCCCCCCATTTTAAGGAACAGTGCTGACCGTGTCACCAGACAAGATCATGGGTGTCTCCTTCACATTTTGGATGATTCCCATAAATGCCTACACATCTGGATTTTCCCAGACTGTAAACAGTGAATTAAGAAAGAAAAAGAGAAATATAACTGATCCTGTTGGATGCACTAGAAGGAGACCATAGAATCGGTTTAACAGTCATGTCTAACTACTGTGTTCTTGCGTGCACAGTAAACCCAAGTGATGATATTGAATTTCCTACACATCTTATGAAACCTACATTTGTTGTGATTGTGATGACAACAACAACGCATGGGATCCGTGTTTGTTGTTTTCGGCCCCTGTAGCATTCTCTCCGAGCTGCTTGGTAATGAATTCCAGTGAAATGTTACTCCTACTTTACACCGCTGCAGCCTAACCCTCATACACAGACACAGACACAGACACATACGTGGTTCTCAGTTCTAATAAAATTGCTCCCTCACTGCACAAAACCATCCCAACTGCACAGAAGCTTCCATGTTATTGAATTTTTTTTTTTTTTTTGTCTCCAACAAATGAAATGAGGCTGCGTTCCTTTAAGGCGTGAACAATATGTGGAAAGACAGAATGTCTAAATTCAGTAAGTACAACACAGAGGATCAGCTACCTGCTGTGTGACGAGCTCTGTTCATAAATGTGATTCCTCTCTCAGACACTCTTTGGTGGTTAGAAGTATCTCACACAGTCACGCTCACTGTGAACGGCTGGCAGGTTGTTGTTTTTTATCTTAACGGCTAAAAAGTCTCAGTGGAAATGTGTTCATATGAAGTGAAACCAGTTAAACTGTTAAATTTCTTTTGGTCAGAATATTTTTTTATGACCATCTGAGAGCAGTGAGTGAGTGAGGCATGAGAGCTAAACATTTAGCCACACGTGTGGCTAGGATATCGCTGAGCGCTCGGGTAACTGCTGCTGGAGCTGTAAATCTGCAACAAAGTGTGGCAGCACTTTATTAACAGCCTGTTTCATTACATCACCTGAATAATTTAAACCTCCAAACGACGTCGCCCCTGAACGGTCTTGATATCAACAAAACACTAGCGCTGTCATATTTGAAGCTCGAGAACTTCAGTGAAATGAAAACTCTCTGCCGACACGTTTGTAACTAACTGTGTATTAGAACAGTGAAAAGTGGGCGGAGGGTGGAATTATTGGACATCAACCTGAGTCATTCTGCCCACGCCTTAAAAACGCGTTAAAAAAATGAAGGCGTTATTTCGGAAAACTAACAAATATATATTTTGTATTTAATAGAAATGTGTTAGTTTTATATGTGTATTTTATGAAACACATTTCAAATATTTAATTTTAGTGAGAAAAACAATACACAATATAAATGATATAATATTATCTATGGTATTATTGGGTATTAATTCATTACTTAATTGATTAAGACCTACTAATAACATTATTAATGATATTATATTACTATTATAATTAATTAATTAATTAGAATTATTTTCATAAACCTTCTATTCCTTGTCCCCCGTCTAAAGACCTCTGGTCTAGAGGTTAATTACTCAACACTGTGTCTTCTCTGAGTCCGTCTGAGTCTCTGTCTGTCTCTGTCTCCACAACTCTGAAAAACTGTATTTCATTTTTTCTTGGCTTTAACGGCAGCTTGTATTCTTCAGTCACTGGTTTCCACCAACATCACGAAAGTTTTTATTTTTTTAAATGACTCAGTAAAATTCCTGCCTACTCTGTGATATGAGTGGGTGGGCGGTGGACTGAGAGGTCTTTGTGTTATGTGACTGTCTGTGGTTTTCTACTGTCGTACTTTTTCCCGGTGAGAGTGCAGCCAGGCCTGGTGTCAGAGAGGGAAGAAAAACTGTCATCGTAAACGACACAGAGACAGATCCAATCTGTAGGAAGACGTGTGACTTTGTCTGAATCATCTTTGTCTCTCCCCCCCTCTCTCTCTCCCTCTCTCTCCCTCTCTCTCTCTCTGCAGGCGGGTGCCCTGGGCAGCCGGCGTTAGCTCTTCCAGGTGAAGTCCCAGGAGAGTCATCCACGTGTCCTTACTGCATCTACTACAATCAACCCGGTGACAATGACGGCGTTCACGAGCAGCCTGAAGACAACGAGCGTCATGGGTGCGACAACTCGTGCCATGGCAACAGTCCGTGTCACAGCCACAGCCACAGCCCGTGTCGCGCCGATGTTCAGGTGTCTGGGCCAAGGAAGAACGTGATGAGGCGCTGCTGGGCGGGCCTGCAGACTAAACTTCAACTCATTGTTGGCAGCAGATACTTCAGCCAAGGAATCATGATTGCCATCCTCATTAACACACTGTCGATGGGCATAGAGTACCATGAGCAGGTACGTGTGTGTGTGTGTGTGTGTGTGTGTGTGACACGTGTGCACAGGTATGTGCTTGTCTCCCACAGATGTTGATGACAATTTGATTGAAAAGGAATGAACTAATCACAGCAAAAGTGATCAAGTCAATAAGCGTACTCTCCAATCAACACTTACAGCAGAAGCATATGTGATCACTGCATGTATGTGTGTGTATATGTGTGTGTATGCGCCTTCGCACACGTATATCGGGAGAAACTCATAAGACCTGAAGTGTTAATTAAAGCGTGACCCTGGGACAGGAGGGAATGACTGGAGGAGAGTCAGAAAAGCCAGCACGAGCAGATGAAGGAGTGAGGAGGAGGAGGAGGAGGAGGACAGATCTGAAAGTGTGATTGGACGAAAGACAGAAGTAGACTGAGGGTGGCAGAGAGGGAGGGGGCTGCATTTGCCCCCATTTCCTGAACAATACCACAGATCTGGATGGCCTCGATGTCTTAAATGACTAATATTAAAAAATAAGGCCAGGCATATTTTTCTACTTTTTTTTTTTACAAATCCCCCCAAGATGCTAAAGGGATATTTATATTAATAATACAACACATGAATGTGCAGCTCAAGCCTGATGTAGCTTTTTCCCCATCTGTGCCACAGAAATGAATTTACATACAAATAGGAAGCGTTCAGATTTGTGGGCAGTATTCCTCCGTCTCAGTAAACGTAGTCGGTGCAGGTTTGTTTGAAAATCCTCAGAGAGATGGTTTTGATCTCTGGAGAGAAGCTCAGTGTCAGGCAGATGTCAGGACGCATGCTCAGAGACGCAGCTTTTAACTGATTTGCTTGTTCACGAGCAGAGACAGAGTAAACCGTGACGTCTGTGTTTGTTCATAAAGAAATGTCTGATGACAGGGTGCTCTCCAAACACAGTAGAGCTGCGTGTTAAAGATCGGTTTGACTTTTATTGCTTGAACAATAAGGCTTCTGTTTGAGGCCACATCCAGAGTGCTGACTCCAATATTAGATTTCGACTGAGTTGGAGATTGAGTTTTTGGATAAATTACAACATCTGATCCGTTTTTGTCTTCATATCCCCATGTCTGTATGTGATTACGATTTAACCCAGCATCAAAAAAGTCACGTTATCAACTGCAAGTTAGAAATATTAAATAAATATGAAAATAAAAGAATAAGGAGTAAAGTCAGGTCTGAAGTCGCAGTTGCAGAAATCGCTGTTTACCAAATATTAGCGCTAAACTACAGTCTGTTTTTTCACATAAAAAATCTGGGAATAATCCCAGGTTAGCTGTGGGTTAATCAGGATTAATTGTTATTGTAATTTAGTGCGATTAATCATGATTAATCCCGATGAGTGTGATAGCTCTAAATGTGTTTTTATTTGTGACTAATCCAAATGATGGAATTATCAATATGGAAAATAAACCTTTAAAAATATAGATAACTCAAACTGTGAATTTACTCTCAATGAGTTGCCTTTAAAAATATAGATAAACTGTGAATTTACTCTCAATGAGTTGAATTTAAAATATAGATAACTCAAACTCTGAATTTACTCTCAATGAGTTGCTGTATTTTAGTCATTACTGTGCATCATGTCATGGACCAGTCTACAGTCCATTTGACAACTGTGTCAGTCAGACTGTCAGCTGTAGACTAACTGGTCAAACCAGGCGCCTGTTTCCAAGTTGTTGGAAATGTTTCTCCAAGTTAGTTTTTAGAGTTTCCTCCATCGAAGACTCCTGTTACTGCGTCACGTACTTCATTAAATGTAGTAAAATTACAGAGTAGCGACTGGTCTTAACAAAGTGACTTCTTCAGGTCTGATAGTAAGTGGAGAAACCATAGAGTTGTGTCGTGACATCGGTGTAACATGACATAGACAGCTGTAGACCTGCTCCGTGTGACCACAGGTGTCAGGTCAGAGTCCGGGACAGTCACCGGAGAGCTGCAGCTACTGGGTCACATTTCTGTCTGTCTCTCTCTCTCTGACTGACTGTCTGATGGTGTGTCTGTCTGTTATACACCACTGAACCTAAATTTGCGTCAGGAAATATTGAATTATAAGCCAGGAAAGAAAGCATTAGCATTTAAATCACATCAAATGATGGGGCGGGGAACCTTTTGTTGTGCTTTCAGTGACAGTAAAAGAATTGGGAGTTTGTCCAGAATTCCTGAAGAAATAATGCTCAGCATCATTATGTTAAATACCTGGCAGGTGGACGGCTATAGTAACGCTGCTACTGTCAGTAGAAAGTTATAATTTACATGTGCTTGTTTTTATTAGATAGCCTTAGTAAAAGTAGATGAATGGATGGATGGATGGATGGATGAATGGATGGATGGATGGATGGATGGATGAGAAATTAAGTAGAGGTTTGGTTAGAGGTAAGGCTAAGAGAAAATGTTTAATGTGTAGATTTTTTTTAACCATGATTGTAAGGAGTATTTATTTCTATTGGAAGGACGTCCCTGCGTCATTAACCTTTGAGTTTCCAGTACGTTCCTATATATGAATTGTGTGAATGGTTTGGTCTGTAGCACCGTCTGATGACAGAGTTCTACGGGGCCTCATTTACTGGAACATTTCTCTGCTGGCAGTCCCAACCTTGTGGAGTTTCCTCTGGTTGTCTGACATCCTCACAGTGACAGCACCCATTAGTGTTAGATGTTAAAAATGTTCTTTGGTGAGCAGCACAGTGGTGCAGTAGTTAGCACGGTTGCATCACAGGAAGAAAAGGAGTTTTGGCTTAAAAACCGAATATAATGAAGCGTTTCTTTTTTTTTTTCACCTGTCAAAAAAACTACATTCATACTTTCATTTCCACAAATTTGTGGATAGACACAGTCAGAATTCCCTAACTGTCATGACATGTAGGTATCATTTGAGTTGAGTTGAGTAATGTTCATTTATTTGGATAAATCGTGATAATTAGGAAAGTGAGTAATCCTGGTTAATCCACAGCTACGCTGGGATTAATCTGATTTTTAAAAATTAATTGATTTACAGCCTTTGTGGAAATTTAAGATTTGGTTGGATGAATGGATGGATGAATGGATGGGTGGATGGACAGATGTATGGATGGGTGGATGGATGAATTAATCCATCCACTGAATATTCATTACTGCATTAATAAAGTCAGGGCTTTTTGCCAACATTTGGAGGATTTCAAACATTGTGGATGTTTGATTTCCTCTGAACCTCCTTCTGGTGATGCTGAGCTCTCTGCAGCTAAGACCAACACAGCCTGGGTCCTGTGTTTGAGAGGCTTTGTTTCTAGATTAAATACACACACACACACACACATATATATATATATATTAAAAATGAAAACATTTTATTATATTTTTAATTATATGTGTATATAATTAGATATATATGTAATTTTTACTAATATTTTCTTTAGATTGGCCATGGCTTTTCTGTATATTTTCTGTAGCATTAAAAACAATCTGCATTTACCAGGACTGTCAAACGGTTATAATGTTTAATATGAGTAATCACAGTGTAGCTGTGGAGTAATCACAATCAATCACGGTTAATCATGATTATAATTAATCAATGAGTAATGATGCATCGAGATAAATCAACATTTCTAAATGATGTGAGTATCAGAATTTAGTGGTTTTAAAAAACACATCACATCCATGAAAGGAATTTCCCTGTAAGTGTCTCTACATTTACCTTTAGCATTACTGACTTTACACTTTCTGCAGTTGGTCAGCTACACTAATGCTACTACTCACCCCTAATAATGAAGGTAAACAGACTCTAAATCCTCAGTTGATCTGTTGATAAACCCTCCAATCCCCTCTGTCTACTACTGCACCAGCTCCTCTGTCTGACACTGGGACAAAATTCAGTGCGAAGTGAAGTGAAGTGAAGCTTTTACCGTCATTTGAAAAAGTGCTAAAATTCTGAGTTGATGGTGCGTCACTTTGGCAGTCTGTCTGCTTGTGTTTATTTTTTCATTTTCCTTCTGTGCCTGTCCATCTCTGCACATCAATCACTGCCTCCTCTCTTCTCTCCCCACCGACGTCGCGCCTCCTCAGCCGCAGGAGCTGACAGACGTTTTGGAGATCAGTAACATGGTGTTCACAAGCCTCTTCAGTCTTGAGATGCTCCTGAAGCTCCTGGCCCTTGGACTCTTTGGATACCTGAAGAACCCCTACAATGGCTTTGACAGCATCATTGTCATCATCAGGTCTGACAGTGGGGGAGCGCGAGGGGGAGGCGGGTCGGGGAAGTGTACCGAAGTATTTGTTGTTATGTTGTTTGTCAGCAAAATGTGAATCCTGTCATTAAATATTCACTCTGTCCCCGGAAAATCCTCACAGCGAGTCTGCACTGTCGTCACCCCCTCCAGACTGACACTGGGATCCACCGCTCTCAGTCCAGCGGGCTTGTGTTCACTCCATAATGTAGCACTGCAGGCTAAATTATGTATCTGCACTTCAAGCCTCCGCTTATTTACCATGCCACTGCACACTGCCCTTAGTCTTATTTTATTGGCTCTGTTTTATTTTATTTTTGCTCATGGGTCAAAAACCAAACCTTTCTTCACTCAGCAGCAGAGGCATTAGTTTGATATCCAGAGTCAGAGTTTTTTTTTTTTTAATTTAAATATAGTTTTTTTGGACATGTTTTTTATTTAAATATAGTTTTTTTGGACATGTTTACAGTAAAAATTTAAGGTGCTTTTTCTTCTTCATGGAAAATACAGTTTAAAGCCATTCACCAACACCTGGTCTCTGATTGGCTGTTTGATTTGTATATCAGCTGTGAACTTAAATCTCTAAATCCGTCATTGTGTGCAACCCATCTGTACAACAGCCCAGTGATTAACACCAGACACATGGGGGCAGTGGAGAGCACCAGACATGTTTGTGTCACTGTAGAAGTCGATGCTGTTAAATTACAATTTATTATTTTTTTTATTGTTACTATTTTCAGAAATCGGAACAAAGATGTGCAGATGATGTAATTAGGTCTCGTCGTCCCGGTGCTAGCGTGTGCGAACAGCATGTGTCAGACATTGAGCCCAAAGTCAAACCACATAACAATGTGCAAAGATTCTCAGCTTCGACTTTGATTGGCTTGAAAACAAAAGACTTAGATGAACACGGTGCTTTCTCTCCTTTGTCTTTTTACCTGCAGTGTTGCAATCACATAAAGTTCTAACATTTCCTACTGAATTAACATGTATGTAATCACAAGACTCAGACGCAGCTGAAGGGTTTGAATTGATGTGAGAAAGAGGTGAGGATTTGTGGGAGGGAAATGAAAAAAATGGAAAGTGCTGTCGTTTTGTCAGTGGTTCATCGGGGTCAAAAAATCTTGACACCACATCAAAATTTTTTATTCCGGTTACAATAATGTTTCCTAACCTCCTTCGCTTCTGCTTTGTTTTCTAGAGTCTTTTATTTGGACTCCAATAACCTTGAAAGCAGGTTCTGACAATGCTGTTTAGTCTGGATTGTCCTCCGCAGTCAATGCACTGAATCATAATCACCCAAGAAAAAAAAAGAATTCAATAAAGCGAGAATAAAAGCGACATTCAATTGGCAGATTTTTAAAACAATAAAAGAATGAAGGGTAACAAATATCTATCTATCTAGCATTACAGCAGTAGTACACTTATATTCCATTGGAACCCCCTTGCGGTCCCCCGGCACCTCACCGCGGCCCCCCAGGAGGGGCTACCCCACTACTCTCAGTCCTCATTCAGTAGTTTAAGGTTCATGACATTCCTAAACTCCACTTTCTTGATGATTGTCAGTAAAGGTGGATCCCAAATGTGTGAAAATACTTTTATTATATTTACATTGAATGTTTTCAGTAAGTCAGGTTTTCCCCTCAAACTTTTCTATTAAACACGATCAGCTGGTCCTGTCTTGCTCTGTTACAGTGTTCCTGCCTTTGAGGCTCTCTGAGGCTGTTCTCGATGCTGACTCTGATTTTTTTTTGTCAAGTTGCCTTTTGAAAATACATTTTGTGTAAAATTGTTCTGTGATTGGTGTGTGTTGAAGTGTGTGGGAGATCGTCGGGGAGGCAGCAGGAGGCCTGTCGGTGCTGCGTACCTTCCGTCTGCTGAGGGTTCTGAAGCTGGTGAGGTTCCTCCCTGCCCTGCGGCGGCAGCTGGTGGTGCTGATGAAGACCATGGACAACGTCGCCACATTCTGCATGCTGCTGATGCTCTTCATATTCATCTTCAGGTACCAGGTTTACAGTTGTTGTTGGTTTTTTTTTCTTTTTCTTTCAATGGCAGCGTTGGAGGAAGACACCAAATAGTTTCCTCAACTTCACATCAGTCTAATGAAATAATCATCAGATGTATTTTGCCACAGTCTGCTGCTGAACATATTACCACATACATCATCACCTTTCACACAAACACAATTGTTCACACAGAGAGAGCGCACTTGTGAATCTTGTCGCACAAAGTTGATATTAAATTACTGTCTATTGAATGCTTTGTATCGCTTTGTTTGTGTGTGTGTGTGTGTGTATGTGTGTGTGTGTGTGTGTGTGTTTGTGTTTTTCAGTATCTTGGGGATGCATCTATTTGGCTGCAAATTCGGCCTGCGACAAGACAGTGGAGACACTTTGCCAGACAGAAAAAATTTCGACTCTCTGCTGTGGGCAACCGTCACCGTGTTTCAGGTTTGACGAATGCGAAAAAAGACGAGCAGATGTGAGAGATCACTTCATTTACCTCAAACGGCTCTTTTGCCTGATTAGAGTCAAATTTAATTTCAAAATTAATTGGAATGAAAATTAAACTGTAGCTGCTGATGCTGCTGGCAATAGTCCCCGACAATCGTTTCTATTGTTTCATGTTCTCCAATTTGTGAGCACTAACACATAATTCTCAACAAAATATAAAAGCCCCCCCAGTGGGCAAATATACCTCACAAGCAGAAGGAGGAGACGTATTATAAGACACCCTCCACGGGAGCTCATTTAACACTGATGATCATCATGACTGCTCAGTGAACTTTGGAACAGATTCCATGATGAATGTGTTGTGACTCCACAGCTTACGTTTGACGTCGGCAGCTTTGTCTTGTCCATTCTGTGTCTGAGGATCCGTCTTCCCTGGTTGCTCTTGTCCTGTGCAGATCCTTACTCAGGAGGACTGGAACGCAGTGCTGTATAATGGGATGGCCTCCACCACGCCACTGGCTGCCCTCTATTTTGTTGCCCTCATGACCTTTGGCAACTATGTCCTCTTCAATTTGCTCGTCGCCATTCTGGTCGAAGGATTTCAGGCTGAAGTAAGGGGCAAAGATGCAGTTATGTTTGAGCAGCTTAAAGAATGAGGTCTGGCGCTCAGTGCTGCTGATAAAACCAGAGATGCTACAAGAGAATAATCCCCAACATCCTGCATGTGTGGTTTCTGCTGTCTCTCTTTATCCAGCGCTCATGTCTCTGCCTTTCTTACCATAGTTAGCTTTCCCTCTCGATCATGCACACACACACACACACACACACACACACACACACTATCCTCTCCAGGGTAGGGATGTGTTTGATAATGCCTGCCATTCTCAGCTGGTGAGCTTTTGTTGTTTAGTTTTCATCTTTTATCTCTAGCATCACAGAGCACATGCTCTCTGCCTCTCTCTCTCTCTCTCCCTCTCACTTTCTGTATATCACACACACACACACACACACACACATGGACAAACTTACAGATATCCTCTACAGAAGCTGTCTACTTCCATCTTTCTGGCGTGAATTTTAATTAAATTCAGTAAAGCTTTATTGGCATGACTTAAGCGTATCACTGCCAAAGCCACGCACATAACTCAACTACAGCGCACCGGAGATCCCCGCCCACCCTCCACCTCTGTGCCTCCTGTTCTTTGTCTCGTGGTCCTCACCTCACAAGTCACTCACTCTATGTTTTTCACTTTAACAGTCAATAGAGAGTGACTGAAGAAAGAGAGGGGAGGTGATGATAATGAAGATCATGATTACAATGGTGTCCCCTGATGTTTGTGTGTGTGTGTGTCTACAGGGGGATGCTAACAGGTCTGAGGCGGATGATGAGCGACAGTCGTTCTCCTTCGAGGATGAGGAGAAGCTGAGGGAGTTGTACGCCGCAGGTACGAACGCCCTTAAACACCAGTAAACATACAATCACCCGTAATGACGAGGAACTCGTAGAACGCTCAACTTCTGTTGATGCCTGACTGTGTGAGATAATGAAACAGAAATCAATGCTGACTTCACGGTGCCAACTCCACACTGTTGGCAACCGCCGGCTCCTAAT